TACAGGTCTGGTACGAGAATGGTATGGAGCTGAGTTCAGATTTTCCTAAGATGTAGTGAATCACTCAGGGCAGACACTTTTACAGCTTGATTTGGATATAATTTGGTATTTACTCAGCTCTTATTTGGCTGAAACTGACATTTGTTTGTACTCATCTGAGTCGTTTAGGTGCCATAAAATGAAAAAGCCATAGCTTCAATAAAAAACAAACCTAAGTTGCAACTGTCTTTGTGATGAAATTGTTGTTTTTTTTACCGATTCCAGATAAACTTTTCCAATGAGATCCCAGTTTGTGGAACAAGTTTCCTCAGCCAACATCACTCAGCTGCTGGACGGTCTTCTGAAAGACGGCGTCATTAATTATGAAAAGAAAGACTCGGTAACTGAAGGCAGTAATAAAGAGCTGAAAGGGACCGTTCTCTTGTTGAGATGGTGAGGGAAAAAAGGAGCCACTGCCAGCAAGAAGATGATTGGTCACCTGGAAAGAATTGATCCCACACTTTGCTCTGAGCTGGGCCTGTCCTGAGGTCGGCTTCACCTCTGGAGGCTCGGAGTGGATCCAGTAACATCTGCACCACGAGAGAGCTCTAGATCAATGATTCAAGCATCAGTCATTTATAAAAATCACATCATGTAAGCTGGATTCAGTAAACATTTTCAGAAACACTTTTTTAATCTCAAAGCTTTCCTGTAGATCTATATTGTTTTAATCTGCTTTCAGTGGGTTTTTGTTATCTTTTACTCTGTATTATTTATCACTTTGCATGTTCTTATGTTTACCTTCGTTTGTAGCGCTCTAAATCAAACAAATCTCAGTGTTTTACAAATAAATTATATTATTAATATTATTAAAGCTCTCAGATAAACAACTTATTTCGCACATTTAATGTCAACCAGAAAGTAGATTTTCTAAGTTGATAGGTCTTTAGTTTATTTCTGTCCAGTTTTTTTACTTTTTTGTGCCCAAACTAAAGAAAAAACTAAACCTGGAAGAGTGCAGGGGAGAACTTTTTTGTCTCTTCTCATCTTCTAGTTTATATTGAAGGAAGGAGGTGGAGCAGCTTGAAGGTTGGTGTGGATTATGCAACCTCACCATAAAAACAGACAAATCCAACAACAAGCTGATTGAGTTCAGGGAGTTTGGGAGAGATCACCACACTCAAATCATCATAAGTGGTGCTGTGTGGGACCTGAGCCCCTCCATCAACTCCACAGCAGTCATCAAAAAGGCTTACAAGTGTCCCAACTCCTCAGGAGACCCAGGAAAGGTGGACTTGCCACATCTCACCTCGTCACGTTCAGCAAAACCAGAGAGAGGCAACTGCTGAGCAGGAGTTGTTCAAGCTGCTAACAAAATAGGTTTTCATCTTCTAGAAGTGAAAAAAGACCTCCACCAACATTCTCAAGATTTGTTTTTCCACATGCAGGAGCATCAGCTGCAGATGCACCAGGATGCTCACTCCTCATCCCAACGTTAACTAGAGACCTTGGTCGAACCCCACCCTCCCTTAAAAAACCACGCGCACACACACGCACACATACAATGTTAAACTGTCGTGATTGGTTTTATTTAGTGTTATTTTCCTCCTGCCTCTACTCCCTCTGTTAAAAGTCACAACATTATTCATGTATTTGTTATTTGCTCTGAGCTGGTGAGGAACATCTCGCTACTATCCGGTTCTTATAGTCATCATTCGTAAAATGGCAGTAAATCTTGAGTCATGAAAAAAAAACTTATGCTTGACATCCTTCAAACAAACAAACTAGTACATGCATTTGCTATTTATAAGTTAACAATTTTCACTAAATTATTGAACTTTTTTACTTTCATAAATGTAATTTTAATGAAACTGATTTTAACCCCAGTTTTTCTAAATCAAACAAAGATTTACAACAAACATATTTACTTTGAAACTGGATTAGAAATTATTAAATACCTCAAAGAGTACATCATTATGGCAAGCTGCAGCACTGGCCAGTGGGCGGGGCTTCAGGAGCCAACCCAACTCACCTGCTGAGGAAAGTTGATAGGTGACCCAATGTCCCCACGTGTGAGTGAGAGTGTGAATAGCCATCTGTCTCATTCGGTTCCTGTGATGGACTGGCAACTTGTCTATGGTGTCCCCGGCAACTGCTGGAGACGGGCACTAGCTCCCATGTGACCCGACTACAGGGGTTAAAACCTTCTCGATTTTAGAAAATGGCAAACTTTAGTTTTAACTTTGTAGTACATGGAAAATACTGCACAGTTTCAATAATGCTAAACAAAACATGTTAGGGTTGAAAATTAAATTCTATGTAACAGAAAAAATACCCACTTGTTTTATTTTTTACCGGATCCGCTGATCTGCAGGTTTGATTCCTTAGAAAGACACACCTGAATGACAGAGATACACTTCCTGGAGTGCATTGCTAGGTTTATAGAAAAATGTCTAAACAATTGTCACAAGCCTGTGCTTGTGCTGTTTTCTAAACATTCAGTGGAAAAAAATTCAAGTGATCTGATTTCATATTTGACTTGATTTCAGTTCTGAAGAATCAAGTCAGGTAGTATTTCTAGTTTTACGTGATTGCAGCCACTTACATGGAACTGCAGCTTCCTCGTGTCTTTACAAGTCCATTGATTAACTTGGCATTCACTCTGAGACGAGACCTGAGCATAACGGCAGGTAAGGTTAAGCATTTATGATTTATCTGTATGTTTTTACTCATATTAAATAACTGTATTTGTGTTTCCAGATAAGGAGCTAGCAAGAGTGAGGGGACGATTTGCGGACAAAGAGTCCAAAGCCATGATCAAACTGCTCCTGGACGACCTTCTAGAAGACAAGCTGTTGAACGATGGGGAAACCGGTTCGATTCTGGAGGACAACAGTAACAAAGCGGACAAGGCTCGCGCTCTCATCAATGTGATCAAGAAAAAAGGGGACAGAGCAAGCAGGAAGCTGATCACCAACATTGAAAAAAAAAGAGATCCCAACCTTTACTCTGAACTCTGACTAAAGCGCCTCGTGATTTTTATCTTGAGAGGCGCTATAGAAATGATATTTTCTTCTTCTAAGCTGTGGTCCGCCTTCAGGTGAGATCAAAGTTTAAGACGTAAAATAAAATAAATCCCATCATCAGTTTTACTCAGGTGTTGTGTTCTTCTCAGCTCAGAAAAAAGATACCTGGTCAAACAAACTCATCACCACCACCGACTCAGACTTTAGGGAAACGGAACGATAAAAATGTAAGCTTCTCTAATTAAAAGATCTTTATTGTTCTTTTGTTTTAAGTAACCTTCCAAAATGCAAGAGTCCAAATGTGATGTTTGATCACTGTTTAATTCTTTTTTAGGTTTACCCAGTGACAGACCAGTCCTTTGAGAATCGCGTGGCTCTGAAGATCACGAACAGGAACTTTATGGATCCCAGGATGACTAGAAAAGGAGCCGAGATAGATGGAGAGAACATGGAGAAGCTTCTCAGATCTCTGAGATATGATGAGTTAAAAACACAACAACCTCTCTGGGAAGGCACATGGTTTCCATTTTAACTCCAGCAGCTCTGGTCAAATAATTATAGGACTTTGTTGCTTTTTGCCTTTCTTTGTTGTACAGGTCATTTTATTTTATATTTTCATTGAGAAAAAAATTGTTTAAAAGTTCTATGGTTGACTAGATTTGTGCGTTTTTGTGCACTAATGTAAAACTGGGTGAGACATAATATGTCAACTCTGATGTCAGTGTGTGTATGAATGAATGAATGAATGAATGAATGAATGAAGGCATTGTTAGCATTTAAGGTGCAACGCTACCTTTCAAGGTTGACAGTAGTCAGAGCTTTTCATCAGTAATCTTTGGGCAGAAACCAAATTGCTCAGGAGGTAAAAAGAAAACCATTTCAAACTGAAACGGAACAATGAGGAGATAAATTTAAAAGAAAATAAATGATGGTCATAAGATTTGTACTAGTACCAACCCACTGTCTTCTCTTACAGGAGATCTATAAGGCTGAATCTGATTTCTCCCAAAACCCCAAACTGAAACACATCGGCAATTTTTTCGTCATCATCTTGTCTCACAGGAGAGTTTGTTCTTGGTGTTAATCACAGAGAAGAACAACCAGATCAGTTCCCCGTTGACAACCTCTACAAGTACCTGGGTTCTCAGAGCTGTCCTGCACTGATGAACAAACCAAAGGTCGTCATCATCCAGGCCTGCAGAGGAGGTGACTTCAATTGTGTTTTCATTGTTCACCTCTGGACCTGAACTGAATTCAAACTGTCGTGTGTGTTTTGCAGAATCTGGTGGACATGTGCTATAGCGACAGCGCTAAAGCCGACATAGTCTCTGATGATGTGTCACATCTGGCGAGAGAAGACAATATCGTTGATTGTGCAATTCGATATGTTCACAAGGAAAAAGACTTCCTTTCTCTTCTGTCCAGCACTCCTGGTCAGGTTTTTATTTAGTCAGATCTGATAAAAAACTGATTAATTAATGTAGCAACAAAAAAAATCCTGGTTTTGTGTTGCTCTGCAGATACGGTTTCATACAGACAAGAGAGAACGGGATCTTTCCTGATTCAGTATACAGTGGAAATATTCAACACCTGCTGCCACCAGGATGATATCGATGGGCTTTTCAGAAAGGTAAAATGCCTGTTTTTAGATTTTAGTGGCAAAGAATTAAAAAAATGCAGCCAGTGATGATTTTGTTTCCTGTTTCCTGTCTTAACTCCTCAGGTCATGCAGCGTTTTGAGGATTTCCCATCTGAGACTGAAAGACAAATGCCAACCAAAGACAGATGCACACTGTCCAGGTGCTTACCTCTTCCCAGGACAATGAGATGGCACAGTTTCAGTAAATGCATCACATGATTTTTACTTCTAATTTAAAAAAAATTTTTTTACTTTACTTTGTGAGAAAATACTTTGTAAAATAGCAATAAAATATTATCTGGTTTGTGCTCTGCTGGATATTTCTGCAAGACAAAACAAAACAAACTCTACAAAAATGACTTTCCAAATAGACTTTTACTTTGTAAAGAAACCCCAGTTACAAATGAAACCATGTTATCACAATACAACACAAAGGCAACAAGTCAAGTAGGCAACATGGTAACGCGGTTTGTGCACATCTGATGTGTCCCTAAAAACTCTGACTTCATGTTCATCAACAAAGAAGCATCTTGCACCGTTTAGAGTTCAGGGTTCTTTTAAAAAAGACGTAAACTAAGACAGAATCAGTAATTCAATCAGATTAAACTCTGTTTAACATTTTACTATTGGCAGTGTTAGAGAGCTTTTCAATACAAAACAACACACTCCAGTTTTCACTCAGACGATTAGCTACAGTTGAACATCTGCTCTTAAACATCCGTGCATGCACAAACTCACACTCAACCAGGGGCGCAGATAGGATTTTCAAACTGGGGGGGACAAAGTTTCAATGTACCCTCCCCCAAACACATATGGGCCATTCCCATCTGTACCGGGTCGGCCCGGGCCGGGTAGCCCCAGTCCGCCCCAGCCTGGCCCGGTTGATTCCACACATCCTTGTCTTAAGCCCATGTGGGCTGATTCTACCCACCAATCAGAGGCTTGCTCTAATGGAAGGTGTGAATGGGCTGATTCTACCCACCAATCAGAGGCTTGCTCTAATGGAAGGTGTGAATTTGCTGTCAGCAGTGGGTGTGTTGGCCCTGGTCGGCCTGAAGCAGACCCCCTCGAGAAGAGGGCTGAGAATGAGCCTTGGTTGGCCCGGAAAAATACCAGGCCACCCAGATATGTAAACAACCTATGCTACCCGGCCCGGGCCGACCCGGTACAGATGGGAATGGTCCACTATACACACACACGTACGCACGTACACATACACATACACAAACTATTGCAATATGGAGCTAGGATTGGGACAATATTCAGCGTAACTTGTACCAAGTTTTGTAACTTCGAACATGTTTCATCACATGTAACTTTGGATTTGTAACTTGTAACTTTAGTTTTCTAACTTGTAATTCTCAATTTGTACTTGTATTTCTTGTTTTGTAACAGGAAATTTTCATTTTGTACATGTATTTTTTATTTTGTAAAATCAAACTTATTTTGTACATTTACTACTCATTTTGTAACATCAAACATTCATTCAGAAACATGAAACTTTCGTTTTGTAACTAGCAGACTTCCAAATTGAAAAAATCAAGGTACAAGTTTGAAATCAAAACTCTCAAAAACACACATTTCATTCTACAGGTACAAACCTCAAATCCACAGTTACGGATCTTTTTGTCTCGATTCTAGCGTCAGTGGGAGGAACTTGGGTGGAACCAATGAGAGCACGAGTCTTAGCTACCAATCACGTTTCACAAGAAATACAAGTAAGAATTGAGAATTACAAGTTAGAAAACTAAAGTTACAAGTTACGAATCCAGTTACATGTGATGAAACATGTTCGAAGTTACAAAACTTGGTACAAGTTACGCTGAATATTGTCCCAATCCTAGCTCCATAATATGGATATGCAAGAGCCTTAACTAGAGCTCAGTCAGTTTGTGTAATTCCATTGAATGGTTTACGAAATAACTAACAATTTTATATATGTGTTTGAAGCCATTGTGCAATGGAACGCTGGCAACAAGCTCTGCCTAATCAACACTATCCAAGTCAGTCATTTGTTATCCTCCCAATCAATTACTAACCAAAACCTCATGCTTTATGCAAAACATTAAATGATTTCCAGCATACCAATCTTTACAGAAAACCTAAAAGCCCTAAAAAACTGCACATAAAATATATTTAAAAAACAATACTCACTCATAGGATTGGCCATCGTTTGATTTTGAACGATTCCGATTCCAATTCCTTGTTTCAATTCCGGTTCTTATCAATTCCCGATTCCGATTCTTTTAAGACATGGCATGTTTTACACGAGCCAGCTAACCACAGGTCCTACTTGATGAAATAATCTTAACTTCAACATGAATTTTAATTCTATGAACCACAAAATCACCTTCATTTAGACAAAAACATGTTTTGGAGAAAAAAAGAAAAAGACTTGCAGCACAACCAGTGTGTTTGTTTCTGACCACAACCAAAGTATGGAAGAAGCCTCTGGGATGAGAGGCTAAATATCTCCAACATATCCAGAAACGTCCAGCTGTTTTCAGCTAAAACTCTCAGGATGATCATGTCCAGGATGACTGAGAACTACACCTCCATGCTGCAGCAGCGTTCAGTCAGAACAGGAAGTGAAGCTTAAGTGTAGCTGCTGTCAGTAACAACCTAACAGATTTTAAACATTAAAACTCTCAACAGAAATAGGTCAGAAAGGAAATTAAAATGTTCACCATTGTGATTTATTATTGTTATTATTTATTGTGGCAGAAGCTGGTGTGGTCCACCACAGAGAAAGCTTTTATAGCATGATGACTTTAATTATTCTACAGGTTATTGTTCAGCCTTCTGACGCTCACACACACACACACACACACACACACACACACACACTGGGACGTAATTTTGGGGGGGGACGGGTGGGACATGTCCCCCCCACTTTTTCAAAAGGCAGTTTTGGTCCCCTGCACTTTTTTCCGTCCAAAAACAATGTTACGCTCCATTAAATGGATTTGGTTGAGCACTAGGACCGAAACGGAAACCGGTTTACTATTAGACCCGCCCAAAAGCTAATCTATTGGCTCTGCTGATACTTGCTAACGTATTATTGGCTGTTGCTGCTGTCACTCAAGTTGTAAACAGTCAGAACGTGCTCACGTTGTTTTGCTAGTTTGGAGCCGCTAGGGAACACCGGTACTGAGTCACATCGTCAACTAGACGCTGTGTAATATCAGAGCTCAGCTCAGCTTCCATTACATAACATTTGAATAAGTGTTCATTTGTGAGTCTTTGGTAGTTAGGCACAGCCAGGAGGCAGCATGTCAAGAAAACGAAAAGTGGATATAAGAGACTTCTTTCAAAGTCAAAACGTAAGTTGGAACATGTGACACCCCTGCATTAAGCTCAGACTCACCTCCTCCTTCACAAACATACTCAAAACTAACTTTTACAAACTCATCTCCTCCACATAACTGACTCCTCAGACACAATTTATTCGTATTATTATAATAATTATTTTTTCATTATTACTATTATCATCATAATTATTATTACTAGTAGTAGTAGAAGTGTAACTTCAAAACTTTTATCATTTAACTTTATTGTAAACTTATCTATTGCAATGTATATTTTCACATTAAAAAGCTCTGAAAAATGAACAGTATCATCGTCAACAGATTTTTTTAAGCTTAAATGGCCTGTATTTGATATAGCGCCTTCTAGAGTCCTGGAACCCCCCAAGGCACTGTACAACACAATCAGTCATTCACCCATTCACACACACATTCACACACTGGTGGGGATGAGCTACGATGTAGCCACAGCTGCCCTGGGGCGCACTGACAGAGGCGAGGCTGCCGAGCACTGGCGCCACCGGTCCCTCCGACCACCACCAGCAGGCAATGTGGGTTAAGTGTCTTGCCCAAGGACACAACGACAGCGACAGACTGAGCGGGTCTCGAACCTGCGACCTTCCGATTGCGAGGCGAGCACTTAACTCCTGTGCCACCGTCGCCCCAATGTCAAAGATGTACACTTTTCATTAGATTTATCTTATTTTTTCCATTTATTTTTTGTGTGTTGAAATGCAACAACTGTTTAAACACTTTTAAGGGAAAAAACCATATTTAATATGTTTTTATACACTCAAATGTTAGGGTGATGATCATGTGTAAAACATTAGTTCAGCATGTCCTCTAACACAGCAAATGAACAAACGGCCAGATCTCATGAGGGACCGTTTATGTATAAATAATTTTTATACTTTTGACTAGGCCTGGGAATGTAACAAATTTTGCTGGACGATATTTTGTCCAACAAATTATTGATGATAAACGATATTGTCAACATTATCTAGACCAAAATAACCACTAATCTAATGTTAATATATCATAATAATGCAAGTACACCCTTTAAAATGCAACAAATAAACCTTCATTTAACATTGAAATGTCCAGAACCAGAACTTCTAAATGAATAAAAATAACAAACAAAAATTGAATAAAAAAGGAATCTCACTCCCTGTTAGAAAATGTTGCACCAAAATCAATAAAAAAGACCCAAAACAATAAATACAATGGCCTATCCATTGTCAACAGCCAAAACTGCACTTCAATAATGATAATAAATAAAAATAATAATAGAGTTGTACATTTTTTAACTTTGATATATATATATATATATATATATAGAGGATGGAAAAATTATTGAGATGGGCACGTGACGTGTCAAGGGGTCTTTACATAACACCCCCCACCCCAAATCCGCACAAGCCTGCTGTGTCCCCCCCACTTCTGAAATCAAAATTTCGTCCCTGCACACACACACACACACACACACACACACACACACACACACACACACACACACACACACACACACACACACACACACGAGTGTTGGTAAACGGCTGCGTCTGACTGCTGACGCTCTGTGTATGTTTTTATTTCTGCAGTGAGAAAAACTCACCTCACACCGCCCAGAGTTTGTTCTTTAAAGCTTCTATTAGTTTTTCTCCATTGGTTTGGCCCATTTCTTGAAACAGAAATTACATTCTCAAAGTAACATGGACAAACCTCTTGGCAAATGTTCACAAGAGAATGGCATTTCTCGTTTCTTTTTATCGAAATGGCAAATGCCTGAATACATGTCTCAATTGTCTCAGTGCATCTTTGCAAATGATTAAGTACATGTAGCCTACAGTTATACAGTTAGCCCACATTTAGCACATTTTCCAAATGAATATATCTTGTAGATCTAAACTGATTAGTTGATTCTCAGTCTAATGATCTGTCTCTCCAAAACACGTTAGCATGATTTCATTGTGTAAGTACTCACGTGCGCAACTGTCTGTTCAATTGTCAGAATTGGTCAAGAACATGAAACCATGAATAAAATATATGAATTTCTTTAAATATTTGATACATTGATGACAGTCATTGACAGTCAGGTGAAACTAGACTAACGAACGGGGAGTGTCACACACACACAGGTGTTTTCCATGATCGTGTGCTGCCAAACACAGATATATAGAGCCTGACCAGCGCCAGTCCAATCTCTGAACATGGATAGACAAGGCCAAGCAAACAGACAAGGGGAAGTATCCGCTGTGATGTGGACAAGAATCTGTGGCCAGACGGACAACAGCGTGTAAATAATCAGGAGGGTGAAGACAGTGGACAAGAGCAGGAGAATGAGTACAGCGACCACTGAATGCGTCCTTGTTTTTTTGATTTTGTGTTCATACAATTTACTGTATTACTGTAATGTACATTTTCTTTTTACATATGTATGAAACTTTCTTTGCGTGTGAATAAAAAATGTTTATAATTTCCTTGGTGGTGTGAGTGCAATCTGTGATGTTAAACCTTGGAGGCTACTCTTTTCGGTTGTATATTGTTGGTCCTCTGCCATAGTGACAAAGCATCTAAACATTTGTATGGCAGTACTCACACAATGCCAAAGGCACGGTGCATTTTGGGGGCACCGACTATTAAGATTAGAAAGAAATGTAGTTTTGACACATGAGTGAACTGTTTTAGGAGAGATTTGAGCTTTTGCAGGTAAACCATGTTGTTGTGATCAACCATCCAGGCTTATTTTGACAAAAGCACAAAGAATGATGAGAATGTCCCGATCTGTGTTGAGAAATGAGCCAAAGCTATTGAGAAGGATCTTTGCCATTTTGGAGACACTGACTGTTTAAATGAGAAAGGGATTTAGATTGAAGCCTGACTGAACAGTTTTGGAAGAGATATGAGCTTTTGCAGGTGAGCTATAGTGTTGTGCTAAACTGAAAGAGTGTTTTGCCAAATGATCTTTGAGGTTTGAGAATGTAATTTCTGTTTCAAGAAATGAGCCAAACCAATGGAGAAAAACTGTAAATCCACCGTGTTGACGTATTTTAACACGTTTCCTCTACGCTGCAAGAGTTACAGTTTACTACAGAGTAATAGTTCGGCAGACGCGTATCTGGGTGGGGGGAGGGAGGACTCGGTGCTGCAGACAGACAGCTGGTGTGATCAGCTCTGAAAAGCGTTGATCACAATTTGCAGATCACGTTTATTTTTCACGGAGATCGGCGGCAGAATCCTCTTCCGTCGGCATTCTAGGAATTGAAACTAGGAATCGAAATAAAAAACTTTGAATGATTCTGGGAAAAACTAACAGCTGGAACCGGTTCCAATCGATGCTCGATGCCCAACCCTAGTTAGAGCAGTGGTTCCCAAACTTTTCGGCCTGACCAACAGATGTTCCTTCGTATTCTTACGTTATTTAGAAATTTTCATTATATTTGGAAAGTTTTAATTTATATATAAATATATAAAGCTATTTTTAAATTTTATATTTTACTTTTGTTATTATTATGTGGCACACTTTGACTTCCATATTTAACGCATCGGCATCTGCCTCCTTTTACGGCTTTTTTTTAACATTGTCGCTACGTCTATCCCATTAGCAGTGTTTTTACCATCCTTTCTACATCCAACGTGTCCCAAAGAAGGTTAAACAAACATCAAACCCAACGTTTGGAGCTTGTAAACTCCACACACCTCTCCTGCAGCACCAGCTGTTTGATGCTGCAGCAGTATAAATCTTCCTGGCTGGATGAGTGAATTTCTTCATCAGAGTCAATATTCTGCTTCATAATCAGAGTCAGTCATGACCAGACAAAGTGATCAGTCAACAAAGACCAGACCTGCCGGCAATTATACGTTTTATCTAATATTTGCGCTCTTCCCCCACGGGGAGCCTCTCGGCGGGAGTCATTTTTCTTACTCTAAAAACTCCCAAACTTTGCTCAGCCTGAAGGTTCCACATCTCCACTATCTTCTGGTGTAAAGTAGTAACGTCATGAGAGATCATATTTGTATATGAGACTTGTTAAAGTCAGCAATGAGGCTTTGGCGCTTTTAACGAGTAAGTCCCAACACCGACAACAACGTACTGAAACTAGAACCAACATGCATAAACAGACAGATCGGTCCCGCCTACTTACACTGTTGGTCTTTTTAAAATATGCAGTAATCGTTGCCTTTTTCGCTTCATCCTGCATCCTAGCAGCACCCACTTTGGCGTCTCTGGAGTTAAGTGTTTGTTTACATCATGCTGTGTTCAATGTAATTGGAAAAAGGAGATTCAAGCGCTTAACCTCCGATTTTGTTTTCTTTCTGGCCTTAGTGCGGGGGACGGATTGAGGTTCATCTGAATCTGGGGGGGACAGATCCCCCCCGTCCCCCACCCTAACTGCGCGCCTGCACTCAACACTGGAAATGAAGTGAAACATGCTGTTTTAAAGGTGAAACCAGAAGTAAACAACGGCTGCAGTTATCTAGTGAAAGATAAATAAAACATAGGAGAAAACAAGTTTGGCAGTTAGATGATTCGACACCAACATCAGTACAGCTATGCTTGTTTTTGCTTTTCTTTTGTTGTTTTCCTTTTTGCATCTGAATACAAAACACCACTAAAACCATGCAGGGCGTCTGAAATCAGGTTATGAATACAAAACTAAATCACAACCAAAAAAATCAAATAACACGGCTGTAAAAACACTGCAGATGAGTGACCTGTCACTGTCTGTTTGACACAAAAACAGACATTACAAACAAATCAGTGCCATTTCTGCCAGTTGGAATGTTTCAGTATAGCATTACACATTGGTTTGTAACTTTCCCATTCAGAAAACAAAACTAAACAAAAAAACATCATGTTCTTGACAACACTCAGAGGAACGATTTGCAGCACCACACGTTTACAAAATAGCAACTCATGCGAGAACACCTCTGGCCCTGTACAGGGTGTGTTAGACGATGCGTCGGACATTAGGCGGCGCATCTTGTGCTAAACATGTTCTAGGATTGCATTTATTTAAATGGGAAACTGAAAGTGTGTGTGTGTGTGTCTGTGTGTGTGTGTATGTGTGTGTGTCTTTATATGTTTAAGTGGACAAATTTAGACTTTAACTGGTCCACACAATGCTGAGCATCCTGAAACTTGGTTTTAGAGGCATGGTATGAATAAACCTTTAGGTCAGATTGGTTCAGGTAACGGTTAGGAATAGAACCCCATTGGTTATGGTAGGGTTAGGGTATAGGCATAGGCATAGTGGAGTCACTAAAATGAATGGAAGCCAATGGAGGTCCACAAAAAAATGTAAATACAAGTGTGTGCGCGTGTATGTGTGTGTGTGTGTGTGTGTGTGTGTGTGTGTGTGGCTGCGTGACTGTAGAAGTTTAAGCCAGAGTTCCTCCAACTATGGAAGCAATGACAATTCCCAGAATCACACAGCATATTATGATCATAATTTTCTTCTGCAGGGCAAAAAACAAAAAACAAACAAACATAAAAGAAGCATCCCACGCAGCAGATCAGAGGGGAAAAAAGAACACATCAGAAAAGACATTTGGTTAATTTTCAGAACAAAATGCAGTTTTGAAGAAGCTCGAGTGTGACTAGATGTTTTTGCTCAAGCAATTTTTTAACATTTCTGTTTCTGCATTTTGTTCATTTCACACCAGCAGATGTAAATGAAAATAGGAGTAAACAGGCACTCTGCGCTTCATCAAACTGAGCACCGGTTCTCAACAGCTAGGACCAACAACTGAAGTAGAAGGCTGGAGCACTCGGTTCAAAGTTCAAATTTCAACAAAGGCGTCTTTACATTAACCTGAGTGCTCCAGCCTTCTACTATATAAAAAAAATTTAATAAAAGAGGCAGAGAGAACTCAGAGGACTTAAAAATAGACCCATTTCTATAGATTTTTTTTTACAAATGAGTTGCTAAAACAAATAAATTTACAACCAAGCTGTACACTTTTACAACAAATGCAGGTTATAACAGTTTTTATACTTATGGTTTTCATCCTAATTCAGAAGTGAACATTTGCATCCAACTTGTTTGATTAGATTCTATTAAATTTGTTTTTATCATTAGGTTTCATGATATAGAACTCCCTCTGCCTCTGACATGATTCATTGTCGTTTCCCAAGAAAACATTCATTTTGCCTTCCTCTAGTGGTAAAAACAGGTAAAAGCAACAAATTCAATAAAGTTCTGCAAAAATCTTGTCAGGCAATTTTTTTTTACAAAGAGCTTAAAAACGACCACGTTTCTTCAGTGAGAGGACATGCAACGTACAACATGCACAAGACAAAACATTACATAAAAAAGAAACGCAGAACCAGACAAAGAACAGTAACACCGTTTCCTGAAGTTCTTGATCATTTAAGAATTTAAAACTATATTCTAAAGTTGAACACATCCTGGGTGCTCAGTTAAAACTTTGTATGCACATTGGACGCTACTGCCCATCACACAGTTCCTGTTGGTCCTGAGAGGAGACATCAGGGTCCTAACTGAGTCCCACTGAGAGGGACACAATGAGGACGGTCAGACAGAATGCTACACAACCTCCTACCAGGATCAACTTCTGGAGGGAGAACAGGGAGAGAAAAGGGTGAGACTGAGTCAGAGGAAAGAAAGAAGTAATGAAGCAATAAATGAAGGAAAAAATGGAAGTAGAAAATAGAGGAGGTGAAACGAAAAAAGGAAAGAAAAAAAGGAATGGGAGAACAAGGAGTTTAAAGTCTCAAAAGATGAGTCAGAGAGGGATGGGGAAGGGGAGGAAGGAGGGAAGAGAAAGAGGGGAGAGAGGAAAAAAATCAATGGAGGAAAGTTGGAAGAAGCGAGTAGAAGAAGGAAGGAGTGGAAGGAAATGGGAAACAAAGGGAGAAAGGGGTAAAGGAAGGGAGGGTGAGAGAATGGCAGAAAGGAGTGAAAGAAAATGAAAAGAAGAAAGAAGGAAATAAGGAAGGGCAGAAAAGGGGAGAAAAGGAAGCCAAATGGATGAACTGAATTAAGGAACAAAGAATGGCAAAAGGAGAGAAGGTAAAGGAAGAGGGGGAGATGAGAAGAATGAAGGAAGGAAGGAGAAAATAAGTGAATTAGGGAGAGAAAAAAAGGGAATAGAAATGGAGAGAGCTAAAGAACAAAGGGTGGAATAAGGAAAGGAAGATATAGACAGGTCTGAATGAATGAGGTTTTGTGACGGTCTGCTGGAGCGCCAATATAAATATTAACCAGCAGGGGGCAGAAGTGTTCTTTACTGACGTTAACCCGATCAGAGATCTGATCCTGGTTTTATATAATCAGAAAACAACGTAATCATGAATATCAGATCTACCAGTTTTATTTTATTATAATATTAAGTAAACACTTAAAACTGGTTTTAGTTTTTTATCAATTAAATGTTCCACTTAGATTTCACTGAACAGCCTGCAGGTGTGAAGAAATGGAACCACACTGTTTGAATACAGTGGATTTCACAAAAACAAACCGCATTGAGGTTAAAGCTGACTGACCTTTTATCTCAGATTCAGTCTGGTTAAAATACATAAACTGCTACATATTTATAGTTTTCAGTCTGTTTTCCATCATATGAACAGCTGGAGAATAGAGATGAGATCAAAACTGCTGACAAATCCAAAGTTTATTTTTGATCTCCACCCAGCTGGGCGCAAAAGTACCACCAGAGTTAAACTCAGCCACAACAATGGGGCTATTTACAATCACTCACAAACACTCCAAAGTAAATCACACGACAGGTAAGCGTGCTCACAGACAACAACTCCACTTCACTTTGTGCATGCACTCTTGTCTCTGCCACTCACCCTCCGGGCTTTACTCTGGTATTTAACCGCCTTCTTAGTGTCTGATACTGCCCTCTCCACGTAGTCTACTGAGTGCTCCACATTGTACTCTATGCGATCTATCATCTCCCCCTAGGAGAGGTTAGTTACAGAGGAGGTGTGGGAGAAGAACAGATAGAGAGAAGAAAGAAGGAGCCAGATGTGTGGGCAGGAGCAGGAGGATTGGATATAGATAGAAGAGAGGAGAGGAATAAAGGGGGAGGAGCAACAAGGAGACAAAAAAAGATAATTGTCACCCGTCTGCTGGTCTTTTTTGACCTTTTGCATTTTGGGATGCGCTCCTTTGCTCCCTCCACATACTCCTGGGCCTCCACAACACCACGCTCGATGTTATCCACCAGCCCGCCCTGCACAGAAACAGAAACACAAGACTTGCTGGTATACTTCACACACTCAGCTCTGTGATTCCCAAACATGTAGCAAAAGGTTACGCTCCCCTCCCTACTGCACAGAAACAGCATGAGCACTAAAACGTTACTTTGATAAGAAAGTGTCTACATCTGTAAAACGGGGCTTAATTACACCCAAAGCTAAGTGTGTAAAGCTGCTTACACACACGTTTCCATCTGGCTACCCCAGTTTGGACATGTCAAGCATCTGTGCAGCGTAAACGAGACACAGGTCTTCTTTCTGCAGCAGGAGGGTTTGATGTTGGTAATCTTCACCCAGACTTTTAATAACCCAGAAATCATGGTAGTTTAAAATGTTCAAAGCTTGGTACCTCTGGCACCTCCCCAGGTGGGAGGGGCAGGTTAATAATGAAGGAGGTGGGTAAGGCTCTAATAAAAATCCATATATATTTATAAGTTTAATGCTTAACATCTTATGTTTTTAGCTAGAGTTAAACATCAAGAAACGAAAGCATCAAATGTGAGTTAAAGAATATAAAAACAGAATTAAGGAACAATAACGCCCTCAGTTTTGCACATTTAGGATTTCTACAGGAACATGGGAATTTCATGCATGCATGATAAAGATTGGTCAAAGCAAAAAGTCTTAATAAATTCATGAAAATTACCTTGTGGCATTAGAATAGCAGCTTTCTCTGTTCTTTAGAGCTTAGAGTCATTGGGATGGTGACAGATTTGTGAGGCGTTGCAAAAATGAAACAGGAGAAAACAAAGAGAGAAGGGACAGAGAGAGCAAAGCTGAAAAAGAGTCAGATTACAAAATACATTCAAGAATAATCCAAAACCCACCCCTCATAAATCAATTCAATCCTAAATTACGCATAATGATCCTAAATGATTGATATCAAAACAGATTTTTCTCTTTGTAACTGGAGGTTTTCTTATGCAGCTAATTCCCGTGTCATCTTTGCATTTCAGTTTTCATGCTTTCATTTACTCTCAGGTCTATTTAGAGTAATTCAGGCTAAGGGGAATCTCTGTGGGGGGTTCAGCCCACGTTTCTACAGTCTTGGATGCCAGCAGCAAGCCTGCAGTTTAACCTGAAGCGCCCTACTTCACCGAGGAGAGAAGAAGCAACTCTGCACACCAGGATTATCGATGTGTGTGGAAGGATATGAGGGATTACGTCACTGGATTAGACGCTAAATATCTGCAAACTGTGTTCAGTGGGCATCATTCATTTAAAACTGAAGAAAGGCTCGTGAAATGGCACAAATGACTGCAGTTTATTGGTAAAACATCGTAAAAGTCTGATGGTTGTTTTGGATTTCTTTTTAACAATGTGACCTGTAAACAAATAATCTGTTCATATTTATGGATTTCGAAGATGCTTTTATCCAAACTTCTTTAGAAATGACATTAAATTGATTTAAAAAGTTGTATGTTTGAATAAAAAATGCAAATGATAAAATTACTAGCAAAAATGCAGTAATAAAAAAATGAATAAAACAACAAATAAAATATAATTTTAAATATGAAATGTAACAAAAAGTCGCTTCTAAAAATTTGCTAAAAAGTTTGATTAAAAACTTTTCTGTTGCCAGAAAAAAAATTATGGAACATAAATTAAAAATGTAATCAAGTAAATGTGAAAATCCACAGGTAGGCTATCCAAATAAATAAATTAACAAATAATTTAACAAATAAATTAACAAATAAATAAATATAATTTTACATATAAATATTGCATATACGAACAAAGCATTACACCGGTTGGCAGAACTAAAGAAAACAACTAAATATAAAAAATTACAAAGTGTGCTCTTTAGACTGAAAAAAGCTGTTTGCTTGCAAATATAAAATAAAATATTTCCTTTGAGCCAATAGATTGTTACATGTGAATGAGGAAAAACAGTACATTTAATAATAACATTATTTAAGGGGCAGAAAAATCGACTTCCTTCTACGTGTGGTGAAGAGATGTGTCTATAGTATTCACCTAAACACTCATATTTGACTTTTTTATTTAGATGGAGCTTCAGAAGAGTCCTGCTGCATTATACTGAGTTATAATTTTAGTTTTAGTTTATTTAAATGTAGATTTCATAGATTTTGAACTCTAAACCTTCCAGCTGATGTGAGACTGAGGTAGGTTCAGTGTTTTCACCTGGCTCTCCACCAGCATGGCCATGTCCATGAACATGTCGTGGAGCTCTCTGATGCTGTTCTCCAGCTTGATGATCTCATTGTGCCGCGTCTCGATCTCATTCATGGCCTGCTGGGTGATGTTGTCCATTATTATCTGAGAAGACACAACAAAGTAAATAAGAGGATAGAAGGCTGCATGAAAAAATGCACATTTCTGCAGACTTTGTTGGATCGCTCACCCCCGAGGTAAAGATGGCTGGGTTGTCGCTCTCCAACATGCTCTCCAGCTCCTCGTTTGTTGTGTTTCTGCCAGCTAAAAGGAACAAGGATTTTCTTATCAGGTTCTTCAGACTGGGGTGTATAAAGATCACATAAAGCCTGTAACAAAACAGTGTTGATAGCTATCCTCCTCCTCCTTTATGTCCCATTCGAGCCGATTAAAACGAACTGCTCATCTCTGTTACTCATGTTTATTTTAATTAGTTTGATTCTAACAACTATTTGAGCTTTTTTATTTAGCACATTCATTGAGCAGTTACATTTGTTGAATTCTTTCAAAATTCACAACAACAATGCTCAAATGGAGTAGGCTGAAGCATAGAAGCTTATGTGCACCTACCCCACATTACAATATTATACAATTTACAATATTATACTTTTTGTCAGTAAATGTTTTGTTAATTAACCTTTCATGCATATTTTGTTATTCATTTTATATTTTGTACTGTTCTTTCATATAACACATAGAATAAAACCAAGAAGCTTTTCCATCACATATTCTCAACATATTTCCCAATAACAGTCATCTTACATCGTCTTTTAAATAGTAGTAGACTAGCAGCACTCTTTAAGTTGTCATCTAAACCATTCCAAAGCTTAACACCTCTTCTGGATATGCAGTGAGTTTTGAGGGTTGTGCAGGCACACACCTTGAAATCATGTGATCCCCGCAAATCCACAAAAAACAGCTGTTGAATATTGATTGGTAACCGATTCTGTCTTGCTTTGTACAAAATTAGCACTGATTTTAGGTTAACTAGATCATCAAGTTTTAAAATTTTAGACTTTATGAAAAGTGTATTATTATGGTCTGTGAAACCAACGTTATGTACAATTCTAATTGCTTTTATTTGAAGTCTAAATACTGCCTCCAAATGGGTACTGTAGGTATTATCCCAGACCTTTGCGCAGTAACCAAGCCCCAACAATGCGGCTCAGAAAGTGGTCTCAACCCGGAAGTACCAAAAATTGCAGTTCCACCCTCAGCAGCTAGGGGCTGGTGTCAGAAGCGAGCAAATCCTCATTGACTCCCATGTTAAAAATACCAATTTCACAGCAGAAATAAACATGTTTACAGCCTGGTACCAAAACATGTTTTTTGTTTAAATGATCTAGTTTACACTCATGACAACTCTGAAGGGGGATGAATTTTTTTCTCACTCTTCTGTTTAAGTGTATTAAAAGCCTAAAATTCTGTATAATTAATGAGCATCAGACCCACGTGACCACAGAGCTAGCTCCGTGGAAAGGCCTCAGTAGAGCCTCGGTCTGGCTTGGAAACTGCTCCGGGATTTTGAGTCTCTGTGTTTGTGTATTCTTCTTTGGATATTTTTAGTGCAATTGTTGGACAAAATGACTTGCTGTGGCATTAATTGCACTACTAGAGGGTCCAAGGAGTCTCCACTTCATTTTTTCGGTAAGTAAAATTATATTTATGTATTTTAGGTCACTGCCGAGCTGAGCTTAGATTTTAACATGTACTGTTTAACCATGAAATTTAAATGTAATAGGGTAAACCCCAGTGCATTTAACATAATGCTGCACTTTAGAAAATGGGTTGAAATATAACATGTTGGTGGAGCTGGGTTCCGACTATCGGCTTATGGAGCTCTCGGGAGACCAATGTTTTCCACCCGTTCTCGCCTCCCCGCAGCTCAGCGCATCTCTGTCTGATCGCGGCTCCTGACTGCTGCACGGGCTGACGGCTTGTGGAGCTCTGAGATGGAAACCTTTCCACCCGGTTCTCCCCAGCGGCAGCTCTGCGCATCTCAGATCGCAGCGGCGCTTGTCTGCTGAGCAGCTGCCGGCTTGTGGAGGTCTCGGAGACCTATGTTCCACCCGGTTTTACCCAGCGGTCAGCCCGGCGTATCTCTGCTTCAGAAGCTCTGGTGTTGTGCACAGTTAACTCCGGTTGTAGCTAGGTTGCTACCTCTGTTAGCTTAGCTCCCACCTCCGCAATAGCTTTGGGTTAGCTTCAGGTTAGCTTGTAGCTAGTTCGGCCGGGTGTCGTCAGTTTATCCCAGCCTTACAGCCCCACCCTCAGCTCCACCTCTCTTCCCTTTTATGGAATTGTCTGGGCTTGACGGAACCTGTGACACGGTCAAAATGGCGGTGGTGGCCACCTCCCATTTTATTACAAAAACTTATTATTGGATGCTATGGAAACCCATTGTCCATATATGTATGTCAATGGCAGTAACCAAGATAGGGGAGAAATAATAAATGCGTAGTACAAGATTAGCAGAGCTTTGTGGTCCAGAAGGAATTTACATTTTCTCATAATTGCAATGTTCAATCAATCAATCAATCAATCAATCAATCAATCAAAGCTCTATTTATAAAGCGCCTTCCGCGACCCTGTCGGGAAGCCCAAGGCGCTGGACATGGTACATGAGAAAAGTTAAATATGATGAATAAATGGAAAATAAAAGCAATTAAAATGTTACAAAAAAGGGTAAAACATTGTAGTAGAAGACAAATGGGTAAAAACAAGGGAAAGAGAGACCAATGAAAACAGGGAAATAAAATCAACATAAAAGAGGGCCAAATTCCATCCTGGAAGAAATTGTAAACAAAGACGAGGAGTCTGAAGTGTGAACGATAGCAAACCGGAAGCCAGTGCAGGAAGGCCAGAACCGGACTGATGTGGTCCCGTTTCCTGGTCCCAGTCAGGAACCTGGCTGCGCTGTTCTGCACAACCTGTAGGCGACGCAGTGATGACTGACACAACCCTGCATATAGAGAGTTGCAGTAATCAAGCCTAGAAATTACAAAAGCATGGAGTACCCGCTCAAGGTGGGCTCTTGACAGCATAGGCTTGATTTTTGCAAGGCGTCTCAGATGAAAGAAACTGGACTGGATCACAGAGTTGATGTGAGCATCAAATTTAAGTCCAGCGTCAATTTTCACCCCCAAACTGGTGACAACTGGTTTTGAGTAGGGAGAAAGAGGGCCAAGATCAACATAACAACCCACAGCCCTGCTATTGGGGTGAAAAACAATGAGCTCTGTCTTTCCCTCATTCAGATGCAGAAAGTTGGCCATTAACCAAGACTTTACCTCGTTAAGACAGGACACAAAGGACTGGAAAGAGTGACCTTTCTCCTGACACAATGCAGAGTAAATCTGGCAATCGTCAGCATAGAGATGGAACGATAGGCCATGTTTACGAAAGATTGACCCCAGAGGAAGCAGATAAATTGCAAACAAAAGCGGACCAAGGATCGATCCCTGCGGGACCCCCCAGCGGAGCCCCTCCCAAGAAGAAAAAACCTCACCCAATTTAACACAGAATGTCCTGTTGTGGAGATACGATCTAAACCAATCCAGAGCAGACCCTTTGATCCCAACCCATCATTCCAAGCGATCAAGTAGAATCGCGTGGTCAACTGTGTCAAAGGCTGCCGTCAGATCTAGTGACAGATAGAAATCATTTAAGACCCTCAGTAGAGCCGACTCTGTGCTGTGGCCAGACCTGAACCCTGATTGGAAAACCTCAAACAGATCAGAGTCAGCTAAATGTGAGACCAGCTGCTGATTAACGACTTTCTCAAGCAGTTTTGAAGTAAAAGGCAGGATAGAGATAGGCCTGTAATTTTTGATCACAGAGACATCAGCACCAGGTATCTTCAGGGTCGGCCGAACAACTGCTGCTTTCAAAGCAGCTGGGACCACACCTGTGCTGAGGCTCCCATTGATAATCTGACCAAGTGATGGGCCAAGGCACGGAAAGGCAGCCTTCCAGAGACGAGGCGGCAGAACGTCAAGTGGAGAGCCAGATGGTTTCTGCCTTGCAACAAGCTTACTCAGCTCAGAATAAGAAACAGTATTGAGGGAGCTCAGGGTGGGTGGTGATGGAGGAACTGGAACAGGGTCAATAGAGGTACCAGAAATAGCTGCTCTAATGCCCGATACTTTATGAACAAAGAATTGGTGAAAATCTTCAGAGTTTTCAGCAGCTGTAGGAGACATGAAGCTAGGCTCCTGATACACCAGAACAGAGTATGGTGTTCTGTAGAAAATCTTGGGATTCTTGGAGTTTGTTTCAATGATGTCTGCAAAATGGGCAGTTCTGGTAGCCCTCACAGCATCCTGATAAGCAACCAGAGATGCTCTGAACAACTCACGCGAGACCTGTAGGCCATCCTTTTTCCACTTTCTCTCAGAGGATCTACACGCCCGCCGACAAGCCCGTGTGACATCAGAGAGCCAAGGCTCCCGCCTGGGCCTAGACTTGCAAAGCTTGAGAGGGGCAACCACGTCCAGGACCTGATTACAAAGTAAATCAAAGTATTGTGAATAGTGATCAATGTTAGATGTATCTGGGTTAAAGGTCTCTAACCTTACAGACATACAGTCCACAAACTTTGCAACAGCTTCTGCATCCAGGGCTCTGAACCTAGTAGCTGGAGCTTCACACACAGGGACAGGACATGGCAGGGCAACATCACAGAGTATAGGAGAGTGGTCAGAGAACACAGGAGGCAAAGTCACAAGGTTCATGACAGGGGGACCAAAAGAGAGAACCAGGTCCAGGGTGTGACCCCTGGCATGAGTAGGGGACAATATTGAGTTAAATTAAATGAATCTAGCAAATTCAAAAAACCTTTAGCAAGCACATTGTCAGAACAGATATGGATGTTAAAATCACCAAAAAATAGGACAGTCATATTTTAGGATGCAGTCTGCCACAAGATCATAGAAATCACTAAGGAAGTTAGAGGGCGATAAATCAACACGACGAGCAGGCGGGGGGAGATGCACAGTTCAAATAGGCACAGTTCAAAAGAAGAAAATGACATAGGTGGGTGTAAGCTGTTTACAAGGAAAGCTGGATTTTTAAACAACAACCAGCCCACCACCTCTGCCCCGTGATCTTGGGAAATTAAAACAGGAGCAGCCAGGTGGTACCAGCTCCAGCAGGGCGCTTGAGTCACCAAACGGGATCCAGGACTCACAGATGCACAGAAAACTCAAGTCATGTTGACTAAAAAAATCCTGAAGAATAAAAGTTTTGTTCAGCACAGACCTGGC